CGTTTCTGGACGACCGGCAAGTGGACACAGACCATAGGCAAGCATTGATCTGCAGAGGATGAATGGAATGAATGGGCTGGACGCTGGAGAAAACCGGTCTAAGTCCCATGTGAGGCGTTGATCGAATGGATGGCTTGGGGGGGAAAATGGCTCATGTTTTTGAACTTCAGTTTCCTGATAAGAAAAGTAAGATATTGTCTATTTCTAATCTATTTCTAAGAGTAGTTGGTTCAAAAGAAATGCGGCTATTACAAAACAGGAAATTTTCTAAACAGAAAAACCTACTGAAGTACAAGCCGTTCTACTAATTTTTGCTTTGACCTTTTTGCTTCAGGATCCTTTTCCAGTGCAAAGCCCCTGAGATACTGGAATTACTCTAGCACAGTAGCTTTATATTTATAAAGCATAGTTTATGCAATTAAATTATAAGCCAAGAATGCAGACTTGAAATCCAATCGTTAAATTGTCATTTCCTTCTCCTATTTAGAGTGCTCTTAAATACTTCATGAGTTCTGTAGTATCAAGACCTGTTAAATAGTTCACTTAGTTCTAATTAACACAAAAGATTCACAGGGACCACACCAGTGATCAGCATGGTTAGCGGTGTTTCCGATGCTAATGAACTACACCCCCCGCCCAGGTCCGAGGTGCAGGGCGTCAGGACTGCTGGGGAGCGCCAGTGGGGTTTCCTCCTGATGCAGAGAGGAGAAGTCCAGGTAACCGGGGCGGTGCCCCGTGCCCGTCCGAACTCAGGCTGTGCCAGCACCAGCCCCAGCTCTGCGGATGAACCCCGTGACCTCCGAGCAAGTCCCTCACTGTGTCTGTCTCAGTTTCCTCGTCCATCAAACAGCCAGAATGCAACTCCTCGTCCAGAGGGCCACTGCAATACTCAAAGGCAATGACGGTGAACTGCCAAGCCACACCTAGAGCTCCGTGAATGTTTGCTGTTACCCCACGAGTGTTGCTGACACCCAAATACTTGTGCTTACAAGTTAAAATGAAAGCAAGTCTTGCCTGATCCGTACCCCAAACCAGCTAACTCTTTCCTTCCACAGCAGGTCGAAGCTGGTTTTATTTTGATCCTCATTTTAATGCCTGTATGGGTGCCCTACGGGACAACGCTAGAGACACTCATAAAACTCCTTGGTTCACCGCTAGCTCTGAAACAGAGGTTCACATCAAAGCCCACGGGGCCGTCAGGCACTCAGCTCCTACATTAGCTTTTTTCTGTCTTGAGTGACATTTTTCTTGCCAGAGAGCTTTGCCTGGTTATAGTGGAGATCATTCACACTAACTCGGTAGCAGAGAAGGTCGTGACTCGTGTCTGCGATTCTCCCAGGAAGACAACTGAAAGCACGCACAAGACTGAAGTCTTTACTTTTGTGAAGCCGACACTTGGGGCGGGGTTGGGGGGGACGGGTGCTAAACGAACATCAAACCCGATTGTCCCTTCCCTCCTCCCCCCTCCCAGACGGCACCGGCCGCCTGCCCTGCCGCGATAAGCTCCTCACTAGTCAGCCCGCGCTGGGCAGGTGGGCATCGATACTAATGCCCCCGGTTTGATAACTGCCGTTTGCACTGCCGCTCAAGGTATGTTAATATTATAATGCGGCGGCCCCGGCTCCTTTGTCCAAAAGCTAAGTTTATTCTCGTGACAAGCCTTCATTTTCTGACATTTTCTTAAAATGGAAAAATTTTAATTCTGTTGAATAGAAACACTGACCCCATGGAATAAGTATTTTTAATTGACTTTACTGGAGTGACATTGGTTAATAAAAATATATAGTTTTCAAGTATATGATTCTAAAGTACATCACCTGTATATTGTACTGGGTGTTCCCCAGCCCAATCAAGTCTCCCTCCGGCACCATTTACCCTTTTCACCCTCTTCTCCCTTCCCCACGCCCCTCTCCCTCTTGTAATCACACACGCACACGCACACATGCACACATGTGCGTACACACACACGCAAACCTCATAGACACAGACAGCAGTATTTTCGGACATTTTTGAGATTTGTGCCCAATGTTAGGAGAAGCCTCACTGCACCTACAGAACCTGTGTGTAGATATTAATCCCACTCTGTTACTAAAGTTCAACTTTTAATGATATCATCGAAACTACCCTGCTAAGCTGTTTCCATCCCCGTTCTGTAGATAATGTGTTTGCATTTTTTCTTTAATAAAAAAAAAAACAATCTTTCAGATTCAATCTGACTATAATAATGTATCATTCTGAACACATCCTTCTATCCCAACCGGATATTCAGGTATAAACCCGAGGAGGAAGGGGTTCGGGGGATGAAAAGAAACGACGATGAACCCAGCGCCCCAGAAACAGCGGCGCAGAAGACTCCTGCGCCCTCTCTGAAAACCCAGTTGCTGGGAGGGGCCTACAACGACAGGCCGGGCACCAGTCGCTCCTCACTCCAGACCGATGGCGAGGCTGTGACACCTTTATGCGTTACCTGAGTGTGTAGTTTACAGCTTCCTCCGTGCGTGTCCACGGCTACTGTGGGAATGCCCACCTCTGCCCCTAGTGACTGTGGCTAAAGCCCTGGAAGGGAAAGGGAACTTTTCTGTTCTGCGTGTGGGTTGCTGGTAGGTGAGGTCCTGCGGCGAACCCCAGAGACAGCAGGCCCCGGCCTGGGGCAGGTCTGTGGACAGAGACGTCAGCCTGGTTTGTCCTTTTACAGATCTGCGTCCAGCCGGTCTGCAGGCAAACCAGACAGCCCAGTGTTTCTGGCCACTTGGCAAGGTTGCTCTGCCGGCCGCTGTCCACCTCCCGCTCCGGTCTCTCACCCCTCCATGGCCTCTCCCCTCCGGCCTGACTCACTGCACACCGTCTTTTCTAGGCTAAGTCCGTCGGCCTCTTCTCCCGGTCATAAAAGAAACATCTCTCTGTCTGCTGGTCCCGGGCAGCCTCCCGGGGCAGCTGGAGGCCATCGGGGCCCCAGGTGCAGAAGCCAGCCGGTGCTTGCGAGCAGGTGGCCCGCAGAGTCATCCGTCCCCACGGGAAAAACAAGTCCAGTGCAAACTGGGTGGTGTGTGCAGGTAACCTCTGTGAGGTGGTTTTTCTGTCTCCGTGTGACTGGCCTGGACGCTCAGCATGACGCTGCTCAGCCGCAGCACCGCGCGGGCCGGTAAGGAGGCCACGTGCCTGCCTTAGCCACGTGAAGAAGTGAAGATGTGGCCAGTCCAGACCAAGCTGCGCCCCAAGTGAAAATGCACGCTCAGTGTCACACGCTTAGTACAAAAAAGGGACACGCGGAATGCAAAGTATCACGTGAATAATTTTTACAAGAATAGCATGTTGAAATGAAAATATTTGGGACATATTGAGTTAAATAGCATACGTTGTTATAATCAATTTACCTGTTTCACTCTCCCTGTTTAAACGCGGCTCCCAGAAAACCGTACACGACGCGTGGCTCTCCCGACGTCTCTGTTGGGAAGCACTGCTCTGCAGCACAGGCCGGCTTCACGCTCAGTGCTGCCTCCTGCACGCTGTGTGCCCCCCCCAGCCCCCCCCACCCCCGCAGGGCCATCACGCTCTCTCCTGGGAATGGGAACAACGACGATCCCTGCTTCTCCCCACCCTCACCCCGGCAAGGGGCAATGAACGGGGGGGCGCCCCTTGGAATAGGGCCTGGCCTTGACCGGGCCGCACTCCTCGGCCCAGGCAACCCCCAGAGGGACACTCAGTGGACGGGCGCGTCGCCAGGACACTCGGGGCAGGACAGGTGGCCAGGGGGTGCCCCAGGGTGCCCCTAACAACAGCTCTTTGTACAGGAAGAGTGCAGTTCCCCATCCCTGCCCCTGGGAAATTGCTAGACAAAAAAATGAGGCGACTTATCTTTGCTCTGGACAGAATGCATGTGAGAGTGTAGACAGGAAATACCCACTCTATCTTCCCATATATCTGGGAGCTGGATATAAAAAAATTGTTGAAATAAGACATATGAAAGGCAACTAGCAATACTAGACAACACACAGGAAACGCCTCATGAAATACAGACACTCCTTCCGAAGCGGTGGGAACCCCAGGGCCGGGTCGGCTGGAGTTTTATAAAGCGGGAGAGGGAGAGGGACAGGGAGTCACATGCAAAGCAGGGCGGCGTGCTTTCAGGACACAGCCAGGCCGACCTGGTTGGAGAGAAGTTTCCAGTGGGAAGACACAGGAGGCAACACTAACAACGGACAGGAGGCAGGCCGGTGGAGACAGAATGCTGCTTGATGCCGGGGTCCCAGGGCGGTCGGGGGGTGACTGTGCAGACCGTGGAAGTCAGCGGCTCTGGGACTCTGCACCCTTCGCAGTGCGGGCCTCCTGACTTTGACCCTCTGTTGCCGCAGGACACCTTTCCAGCCCTATTAATAATTGGCCTTTCAATCTACGGGAAGCTCCTTGGGCTAAAGCTCTGCTTCAGAGTGTCACACACAAATACTAATCAGAAAAATAGATGACTATTACCATTTACGGTTGAGAAAGACACGCTAAGAGATCTTCCGTAGAAAGCCTGGTCACGTGTGTCTAAGCGGTTCTCGGACGCTTCTGGAGTCGCGTTACTGTGTCCAACTGCAGCGAAGGCATTAGGGAGCGGAGCGGGGTCGATGGGTGCCTACCAACATGGACCCCAAAGACAGACAGAATTGCTGCCGCTCCTGACCGCTGGTCAGGAAGCCAGGCTGTCCCTGCTAACTGTTCACTCGCTTTCTTTTGAATGTTAAAGAACAGAAGCACAAAGGTGGGGGGATGCGTGGTGATGGGCTTGACGTGACTCGGGGTGGGGAACACACCAAGCAGCGTACAGACGCTGTGTTGTGGAACCGTGCACCCGAAACCTGTACGCTTCGGTCAAACCAGTGGCATCCCAACAGATTCAATGAAAGGAAGCCAAACTGGAGTGATCAAAAAGATGCTTTGCTTCAAATGCTCCAAAGCCGCCTTCCCTTCATCCTGTAACGGGGTCTGTGTTCTGTGTGCTGCCGTTGCTCCCGCAGACTCAGATCAGCCCCAAGGAAGGATGGCAAGTGTACAGCTCCGCGCAGGACCCCGACGGGCGGTGCATCTGCACGGTGGTCGCTCCGGAGCAGAACCTGTGTTCCCGGGACGCCAAGAGCCGGCAGCTCCGCCAGCTGCTCGAAAAGGTAGGTGTCCCGGGCGTCCGCTGGGCACACTCTCATTGCAGTCCACCACGGGAAGTGGGAGAAGGCGGCGGGGCAGGGGGGCGGGGATCAGGGTCCTCCCAACATGTGTCCTTCTCGCATAAACACCCACTGTTGTATTCTATTTATGTGACTTTACTTCTTCCAACCTTGTTTTCTTAAAACTGGCTCTCCAGCATCTATCTTAATACCCAGTGACTGTCTCCTTAAGAAAAGAGAGAAAAAAAAGCAGGAAGTCTTATTCCGAGGCCAGAAACCGCGCCTCGCCTCTCAGGATCACAGCCGGCTCTTCGAGCTCAGACTTCGGTTCCCATTATGCAGCTCGCAAGGAGGTTAAAATAATGGCATGCGCTATTCGAGCTCTCAGGACAGATAATGAATAATTCCCAGTATTTATCATCATTCTCTGAGTCATGCCTTAGAACATTAAGCTCTTCGATTTCACTCAATAGTATTCTCTCCACATAATTGACTTAAGCCGGGTCCCGAACAATCAAATGCAGGATGCCCTTGATGTAGTCTCTTTTCCAGACAAAAGTCAGCTCATGAGAAGTTACTGATGTCTATAGTGTGGGGAGAACAGAACAAAACAAGGCGATACATGGTTCTTTCGCTGATTCTCATTCAGCCCTCAGCTGGGTGGGGCTCTGAGCACCGCAGGCCAGCTGGGGTGGCCCCGCTGATCAGAGGGCCACAGCATCGTGGTATTTTCAACACCTTCAGGGATAATAAGATACATCAGGCAGCATGTGCTTTTAGGGGACGTCACCATCGGCGATTCACGCTCTGCCCTCTCCTTTCCATGACCATCCACGCAGTGATGGCATCGGGTAGGAACTTTTTCAGAAAACTAAGACAAGCTAGAAGAAGGAAAGCATCCATTCACCTGCTGTGAACACAGACACTCCGAGTTTCCGCAGTCTCCAGCCAGACAGTGGCCTCCCCGCTCCGCCCCGTGTGAAAATCAGGTCCCTCTGTGGGCGTGATCGGAAGTCTACTGGTGCCTCAGATGTTAAAACACTTTTTCATGTTTTTATACAAAGATCAGTCTGTTTTTCCTCCTCTCCCCTCGGAGCTATCATCATAGATTGATTCTCTCTTAAGTCTCTTTTTATGATAAGATCCCATTGCCCCTGCCCCTTTGGTATCTGTGCTCCAGACAAGAGCAAATGTCATTTCATTCAAATTGATGACCCTGGTTAATGTGCCTCTCAACTGTTAGAAATCACGACACGAGCTGTGATTCATCCTGGGTATTGTCTTCAGTCTTGTTCAGAGGCAGATTTGTTCCATCCAGTAAAGTTACAAAGCTTTACTTTACTGCAACATAAAGTAGGAGTTTTTATCCCAATATGAAAAAAAATCTCAAATATATATGAAAGACAATATGAAAACAATATGAAGACAATGTGAAAAAATCTCAAATATATAGTTTAACATTATTTAGTTACTAGGGAAATGAATGATATTGGTAAAAAATATTTACTCTCTTAATTCATTTTTGCTTTTCGATTAAAATGTGTTTCTCCCTCAAATGACTGATTTCTCAGTTCCAATCTTATTTTCCTTCTGTACTGAAAAGTATTTTGAAAACATTACATTTATCCAAGAGGCAGTTACTGTGCTTTTAATACCATCTCAGTAATGTTGCACCACACTAGACACTTTTTGAGATGATGCTTTCTCAATGTAGGAATGACACTAAATTAATATAGGTTTCTCAGTCAGGTAATGCTGTGACCTAACTAAAGAAAGAAGGAGGAAACTTTCCTTAAAGTAATAAAATGCTAATTACACACTAGCTCCCATTGGAAACCCGAGTTAGTCTTACCCAATAGATATCTACTGAGGAATCATTCTGTGCCTGCTTCTGTGAAAGGCCTTGGGAATAAAAGATCCACGGAAGACATAGCTCCTGCTCTCGTGGAGCTCACGGGACGGCAGCCACTTCTCTGTCCCCACCCAACACGCCTGTTATACAATTAGTCTTCATATAGGCGAGGCTGCAGTTCCCACGCCCGGACAAGACAGGGCGGAACTCTGGACCAGCACAGCAGAAACAGAACCGGGGAAATGGGGACCTTCTCTAGGAAGAGGGGCAGAGGGGCTGCTGCCAGCCAGGGCGGGACAATTCCGAGTTTGTCTGCAAGTCCCGGTTCCAAGGAGCATTGTCAACCACGTAAAGTCACCAAGTGGGCCGGCCGAAGCTCTGTGACTTTACTGGGTGACCAAAATCTGCCTCTGAACAAACGATCCCTTCCTTATTTGTAAGTCACAATTTTTGCAATGAAAATGACTTTTTACTCATTATATATGTTTATATATAATATGCATACGTATTTATATATGTATTACATACGCATAATACTTACATGTGTATATCATAGATATGATATACGTATGTATTAAAAATAAAGGGAATAACTAAAAATGTATGAAACAAAGTAAAAATCACCACTACCATATTTTTGGTGTCCACGATTCCATTTTTTTGCTTATGCAAAAGAATTCTTTGCAGAAGGATGCATACGTATTCTGTGTACCAGGACCTCCTTCCACAATACATACGACCTCCGACCCACACCTCGCGCCGCCCAGGAAGCGAGTGCTAACGACCTCCCACGTGCTCTCCTGCACCCTCCCCCCTGCGTCCCCCCACGAGTGTCTGCTCGTCTGCTCCGTGTTCTTCCACGTCTGTGCGGGCATCGGTGTGCGTGGCGGAGAATCGGATTTACAACATAAAAATCAAGTTATATCATTTTTTTACATTTGCTTTTCTTACTTGCTTTTCTCATGGAAATCCCTCCACGTAAAGCATCGCTTCTCGAAATGCAACAGACAAAGGGATCCCTGTGAGGGTCTCGATCACATGCAGAGTCTGGTTTCTGGGGGAGAGGCTGCCTGTTGGAGACGCTGCAGCCGGGAGGCGGCCCGGGTGGCCACTCTGCAGACAGTGCTGGGAGTGGCACAGGCCCGGAGACCTGTCTGGTCCATTAGAACGGTGTACCGGCCTCCATTCCTCAGTTCCTTTAGTGCGTCTCCTGTTAGAGGCTTTCATTCATTGTACTGTCGGAATCTCACTGCCACGCAGTGAGAGCGGCCTGTCCCCGTTTCCAGGTGCTTTGCGGGTCGTCCATTCCCTACTTCTAAGTAGCCTGGGGTGCTGTGGGCCTGGGGCGGTGCCGTGAGCTTGTCCGGCGTCCACTGCCCGCCCACCAGACACCCCGCACAGACGCCGTTTCTCGGGCCTCTAAGACGGCGGGCCCTGCGGGGTAGGGGGTGTTTCAGCAGGTGTCTGGGGACCTGAGGACCAGCACCACCTGTCCTGGTCGACTCAGCCTCTCCTCCCGGGGCGCCTCCGGGGCGCCATGAAGTAACTGTCTGGGAGCGAATGCGTGCATGGTCTGGGAGACATGAATTTCCACCATTCACCATCGCCACACATCACAGATTTTGAAGAAGTCAGAGTCAGTTCCTGCAGAAACAACTTATTTTTTAAGTTCTAACAGAACGGGGCATTGATAAGCTTACAAAGCCCTGGAATAAAAATTCTGGTTTCTTAAAACGCATTTTTCCGACATATGAAATTCTTATTTATATGCTGTCATTTCTAATGCAAGGATGTCCATTTTATCACTTCCTGCCCGGGTATAATTTTCTCTGGCTGAATTCTTTGAATGTTTAATCATAACGAATTGTCCTTCTAAAAATATGTCATGTGGAAATACAGTTGCAGACTTGGTATTTCGAGTTCTCTATGTTAATGCTGCTTTTGCTCTGTCAGTAGTAATCGTACCACCTGTACACAGACAATAGCTGACAGCCCACGTTCTTGTTTAACAGGTTCAGAATATGTCCCAGTCTATCGAAGTCTTAAACTTGAGAACTCAGAGGGATTTCCAATACGTTCTAAAAATGGAAACCCAAATGAAAGGGCTGAAGGCCAAGTTCCGGCAGATTGAGGATGATCGCAAGACACTAATGACCAAGCATTTTCAGGTAGGTTTGACTTCTGCCATCTTGTCAATCCAAATGAGACGCGGAGCGTGATGAACAGCCAGCACCGCGCTCAGCTAGAAATAACTGTGCGCCGGCCCATGTGAGCAGGGGAGGATGCCCTGGGGACTCCAATCACCCGTCCACTGAAACTGACCCTGAGCTGGTGGGCAGGCACAGAGGACTCGCTGCGAAAAGGACTCTCATCCTCCAAGAGCTCGGTGGGGTTTCTGGATAGATTTGCACTTCAGTATTGACGGCAAGGGGAAATCTAATGGAAAATTAATAATTAAATGTAACAGGGGTTTTTTTCCCTCAATGACTTTACGCTCTGCTAATATGAGAAATATTGAGAATATAAATAATTAAAAGAGGCAATAATACCATTATTAATAGCCATAGGAAGAGGGTTGCTTCATGATTTGATACCCAAAAAGTCCTTTTTTAGACTTTAAGTGGTTTGTTGGCAATTATTAAGAAACACTGAAAATGGAGAAATGGTGCTTTTAATCACGCTATGTGGAATTTTATTAACTAACGTTAGTGCCATAGGTTAAGACGAAATCCGACTATGAGAATACCATCTCAACCTCTATTAAAAAGGAGGAGTCCCCCTTGCAAAAAGAGAGCACGTGGTTTACAAAGCGCCCTCTGGTTTCGTAAACATAATGGCCTCGGCTTCCCCTGCCCGTGAGGAAGCGAGACCCACTGCTGGAGGTCAGGGAGCGGGTCCGGACTCAGGTTCTCAGCCACGCATCAGAAGCGCTTCCCACACACACTCTTGGTGGCAGCATGCTGGCCAGGGACATGCAACAGGATCCCTGCAGAGCCCGTGGGACGGCGGCAGAGATCTCTGGCTCTGTCAGGTTCTTCCATGGTGCTCAGGAGCCCGACTAGAGACGCACAGAAAACGGCGCACACTGAACCGCTTTTCAGTTTTACCCAAAAGGACAAGAGGGCTCAAGTGATGGGCAACGAGGTTTAATCGGAAGAAAGATGGACGCTAGGCCAGGAGGTTAAGAAATTAGAAAAATTAAAGCGAAGTGTGGAAGGTACAGTAAATTCAAAGACCACTGGAAATCAGAGAAGAGTAGAGAATGCATGGGAGGGTGGCAAACAGGGAGGGTGTGAGGCTGAGGAGCAAATGAATTCATTTTCACTGGCATTTACTGAGCATGTACTTCGTGCAAGGCAGGGCGGGCCCTCTGCCGCACATACAATGCCGCTAACAGGCAGGTAAAACTGAGAGTAAACAGGGGTGTAAACATTACTTAACAGCACAAAGGGAAGAGGGATTTTGTTTAATTTTGTTTAGAGCTCAGAAGAGTTAGGTTTGGCAGTATTCAAGAACACCATTTTGGACTGGTGCCCCTCCCTGCAAAAGAAGTGTATTAAGCCTAGACGAGATCAAGAAAACTGAGAGGTTTCCCATGTCAATTCATCTTGCTCAGGGTGGGAGTGTGGACTGTGGGCAGCAACGTGAGCCTGACTGGGGCCCCCAGCAGGGCGGGCAGGGGACAGCCCGTCACAGAGCACCCCCAGGAAGGGAGACAGAAGGAGAGGTGCTCGGGGTGTCGGGTACAGAGCCATCATCCGAGCTCAGGTGGGCAATGCTGAGTTATATGACACCAAGGGACAGCTTGGGGCGACCAGGGACACAGGATGGGTGGCATAGGTGCATCCAGGGGAACTCCTGGGAGAAGACAGGAAAGCAGAAACAAAAAGATACAAAGCTGAGAGGCACACAAGGAAATCATCGGCCTGTTCCATAAGTTTGCCTGGCAACCGCTGGGCAACCAATAAGAAAATTTAATTTTCAGGCAGTGCCATGTGATGTAACGATTTTTAGTTTTCCTAGTTTGTGTAATCCAAGCAGAGAGTGAAGTTGTATGTCAAAGTCCCAATAGCAATAGTTTGGATAACACTGTGTCTCTGAAGAAGTACAATTACTCAGCACAGAGCCCTGAACACTTTAAGTACATTATACGTTAACTGATGTACCCGCACCACCGTCCCATCAGTTAGGCGCTGTCTTTGTGTCCATCACGCAGATGAAGAGAATGAGGCCCAGGGAAGCTGAGCCATCTGTCCGGGGTTGCACATCTCAGGTGTGCCCGGAACCCCCAAGCCCAGCTCCCGGGTCACACCTTCTACAGTCAGTGTCACGGCCTCTCCAAGTAGACCACAGCTCTCTGGACACTATTTAAGAATAATCGGATGATCGATACATGTTTTCTGAATGTATTTCCTCACTGAGTCCTCCGACCACGAGTCAGATTTTGCTCTAAGGCAGGGGTGTCAAACTCATTTTCACCAGGGCCGAAAGAAGAGCTCCTGGCCCCTAGTCACGGAGTAGCTACATGTACCCAGTCCCAAAATTGCATCCGGCCCTTTGAAGGCAACCGCGAGGCTGATGTGGCCCCCGGTGAGAGTGAGTTTGACACCCCTGCCCTAAGGGCTGAGGTGCTGTCTCTGAGAAGAAATGGACCATCCTAAAAGTAAGCTTAACATGGAAAAATACTTTTCATTGGAAGGAACTCCTCCTCTGGTATACCATTTTCAACTTAGGAAAAAAGGTGAATGCATTAAGCAAAAAAAAAAAAGCATAGAAAACTTACAGATACAGACGATAGTCCCAAGATCACCGGGGGGTGGGGGAGCCCGAGGTGGAGGAGGGTGAAGGGGATAAATGTGATGGAAGGAGACCTGACTCAGGGTGGTGGACACGCAAGACAGTACACAGGTGATGTGTTACAGATTTGCACACCTGGCCTGTGTAACTCTATTAACCAATGTCATCCCAATAAGTTCGATGTAGAAAACACTAAGTAGGGTTATTCCTTTGTACCCTTTAAGACGGTAAGTTTGTTCTAGTTGTCATACGGGAGACCATCAGTCTCACACGAAGAGCTCATGGTGGGACACGGCAGCCAAGTGCAACCTCTGCTCCCACAGCAGCACAGCAGGACGCACGATCCTAGACGGGATTAGGAAACACGGACCTGTGATAGTCGATTTTAACCTTTTTAAACACTTGGTATGCACATTGGCTGCATTTCCCATTGCTCTCTGACAAGTAACCTCAGTTTCAAAATTGACTGCCAATAATCAGATTATGAATTTTTGAAAAGGTCCAAAAATATCCATAACCTTTTTTTTTTAGTTCAGGAGGAAAAAAAAAAACTGCCACCAAAATTGTGACACTGTATTGTTCTCTTTTCAATATTCCCATAGTACACCCCAACACTCTTCGTGGGAACAGTTGCTATAGGTAACGTGCGGCCGATGGCACCCACAGAGCTAACTCTCCTCCGTGTGACCCTAACGAAGCGCGGGTGCCTTCCACCTGTTTGCTCTCAGCTTTACCTGCCCGTTAGCGGCATCACATGTGCAGCAGAGGGCCCACCCTGCCTTGCACGCACCGCCCCAGGTGCTCACAGCCATAAGTTTATCTCAGGGCAGCCGCCAGCGCGAGCAAAGCCCTGCAGTTCCGCCTTTTGACTGCAACATGTATGAACTTGCTCATGAACTCAGACTCTGTCTCCTCCCACTCCACATGGCCACACAGGCAACCCCGAAGAATTCCCGGCTTGCAGAGTTTAGAGCGAGTAGAAAAGCCCCCCCCCCGAAACAAAAGCCCACTCGTCAGGGCGGTGCTGGGAGCTGCTGCTACTTTGATGAGCTCACAGCAATAGCATCTTCTCCGTGCCACTGCAGAAGGCTGTTTCCAGCCCCTTACACTGGCTGGTGTGCAGCCTGGTTTCTCACAGCGCCTACGGTTCTTCTCGAATGGTCACAACTGTGACCGCTCTTCCCACCGATGAGATCATCTACAGTAAACTCACCAGTGAATCGAGTGCAGGAAATGCTTCCCCGCCCCCGCCCCCGCCCCTGCCAGCAAGTAAGTGCAAGGAAAAGAGGAGGAGGTGATAGGTCTACAAGATGAACACGGAGCCGCAGGTGTGGCTCCGCCCCAGGTGTGTGGCTCCGCCCCAGGTGTGTGGCTCTGTCCTGTGATGCTGGGAGGGAGGGACGGCGTCTCAGCAACACGCACGTCTTGCTGTCTAGACAACAACCAACATACCGGTTTCTAATAACCATGCAGCGGGGCGACTGTCTCTGTTCTGCAACCTAGGAGCACCTGGTCCCCGAAAGGGTCAGTTCACCACATGGGTAAGCCAGCTGCCCAACCTGCATAAAGAGCTCTGAAATACGATCCCTGCTCAGGCAGAGGAAGTCAGAGTGGGGGAGATCATTCAAAGTGGCCCACGGCAGCACGTGTTTCTTCGTGCTTAGAGGAGTGGTGCAGGGCTGATCGCACTTGCTGCACTCAACCTCCCCGAGGACGCTCTGCTCAGACAGATGCTAAAGAGAGTGAGGGAGGCCCGCCTGGGCGGAACGGGAGGGCAGGGTGGGGGGAGGCCACCGATGGGAGGTTCCACTAGGGAAAAGCTGTGTTCCCAGATTTCCTGGGAGTCCCCCTCTAAAATGAATAATCGGTCAATGAATGATCAGACGTAACTGAACAGGCACAGGACATTGGATCTATTTCTTTTTTTTTAAGATTGTCTTTATTTACCTTTAGAGAGGGAAGGGAGGGAGAAAGAGAGAGAGAGAGAGATCAATGTGCGGTTGCTGGGGGCCATGGCCTGCAACCCAGGCATGTGCCCTGACTGGGAATCGAACCTGTGATACCTGGTTTGCAGCCTGCACTCAATCCACTGAGCTACGCCAGCCAGGGCGGATCTATTTCTAATCATTCATACGTAGAAGGTGGACCCTCCTTCTATGTCCTAACTAAACGATGCACTGCGGACTTCCTGAAATGCTACCAGAAACTGAGATGATACATATACACGTGTAATCGCTACCATAGGAAGCTCCTGTAATTATGGTAAAAGATGGATTTGTGTCCCAGAAAATCCTGTAACCATTTAAGGAGAGGTTCTTCTATTGAAAAGATAAGTGGACTTACTCCTAATGACCACGTGGTCATTTCACATTTTCACAAAACACCTCATTTCAACCAAAAAAAAAAAAATCAATGAGGCGTTTAGAATCCACTGTAACCCTCCCCTGTGAGGGTCGGACCGGGCGCGCGCTGGCGGACGCGCGCTGGCGGACGCGGCCCGCGCTGGCGGACGCGGCCCGCGCGAACCCTGCGCTGCCTCCCGCAGGAGCTGAAAGAGAAGATGGACGAGCTGCTGCCCTTGATCCCCGTGCTGGAGCAGTACAAGACGGACGCCCGGCTCATCACGCAGTTCAAGGAGGAGATCCGGAACCTGTCCGCCGTGCTCACGGGCATCCAGGAGGAGATCGGAGCCTACGACTACGAGGAGCTGCACCAGCGCGTGCTCAGCCTGGAGACCCGGCTCCGCGACTGCATGAAGAAGCTCAGTGAGTACCAAAGATCCCGCGCGTGCGTCTCGGTTGGGTCTTCGGTGGTTTCCGCGAACACGGCTTGCGTACGTCCAGCAAATAGAAACGCCCGACTAGAGGGCAGCCAGGGCCTGCTTTCCACGGGGAAGGCGAGTGTCTCTGAATGGCTTCAGTGCACCTGGGAAGGGAGCGGTGTTGGATGAACAGCTTGCTGGATTTGCAGATCATCTGAAACAAGTAGTCTGGTAAATGCAGCCCGTTCTATCAGCTGCACTAATGGAAATCCGTTTTTTAGTTGTTGTTGTTTTTTTAAAAGATTTTATTTATTTATTTTTAGAGATGGAAGGGAGAGAGAGAAAGAGAGACATCAATGTGCGGTTGCTGGGGACCATGGCCTGCAACCCAGGCATGTTCCCTGACTGGGAATTGAACCTGCGATGCCTGGTTTGCAGCCCGCACTCAATCCACTGAGCTACACCAGCCAGGGTTGGAAATCTGTTTTAATACAGACAGACGGTGTGATGATTAGTCACTGCTTGGCCAGGGGAGGGGGGGAGGGGAGGCACCTCTGGCTGTGGGGAAGGTTGGAGGGAGAATGCAGCGAGGGAAGCTGAGGAAATGGAACACAGCGGTGGTTACAGCCAACCTGGACAGCCCCACACCCTGCAGGGCTGCCCACGGCCGCTCTGACTGAGGTAAGAATCACAAGGAGAGGCAGACGGCACTGTTCCGTAAGGGGCCAAGCGTCAGGGGGCCTGGGGCTCGGACTGCCATTCCTGGCCCGACCTGGACGGAGTTTACAAAGTCCTCATTGCATCCGTGGGCTGGTTTTTCAACTGAAGCCGGCACAGGACTAATCTGTAACTTATTGCGGAGTCGTAAGTGGTAAGGGCATGAATCAATGGGGGTCGTAAGCTCACTGAGGAACAGTACTTTAGTGGTCGACATGTGACATGACGGTGGGGGTAGGGGGCAGCTCTCTTTACCTTCTCGAGGTAAAGACAACGTTCTGGAATAGGAAATCAACATGGAAGAGGAGGAAAGAATTTAAGGAAAACAATCACCAGTAACAAAAATTTGAAAGGGTAACTGTAGGTGTTTTAAAATAAACTTTGAATGAGTTCCAAGAACATCTGAAAGACCCATCCGTTCCCTCTGCCCGCCCTAGCACCTCTCCGTAAACCCGTGAAACAGGCGTGTTTGCCGAGACCAGGCTTGTGCTGGTCTCCTGTTCTTCTCTCAAGGGCTGTTGGGTACAGCCGGACTCCACAGAGCGGGGACAGGCGACAGAAAGGTCGTACCTCGTCAACACCGTGAGCCCGACCTAACGTGTCGGTGATGTTGTTGGGGGATTAACAAGGGAAACTCTCGGAATGTGCTCAAGTTTAGAAATGAACTTCACTCCTAGCATCGGCAAAAGTAGGTTTACAGGGGTTCGTACGAAAAATAGTAAATGGTGATCCAAGAAGGAACTCTGCGTTTTGCGCGGCCACAGCTGGAAACCTGCGTTCACCCCGCCCTGTACTCGCTCTGCGTTCACGGAGCTGGATTAGACGGTCTGCTGCGGATGGGGTCCTGGCTCCCCCACGGGGCGTCCTCCAATCCGCTGCAGGCAACTCCCCGCACCCCGTCCCCTCCGACAGTGAGAGTGATGTTTGGGACGGAGAGGGCTAATCTAAGCAAACACGAATCCAGCCTCGTCCTTCCTCCTGGACTAGGAAGCATGTTTCCGCGGTGTCCTTTGGCCTTAGGGCCGTGACCTGTGACTTACATCTTTTTATTAATTTTCCCCCATAGGCCAGTAAGTTTGAAAGAATGTGACTGTCAAATGAACTGCATTAATTAGTATTTGTTTTTATTTTAACTAATCAAAAATATCCAGCAACCAATATAGATACCAAACCGCAGTCAAACTAGTGTTTAACTTTGGTATTTAATGAGACGGCCGCTATTCGAGTTCATTGACCTGACCTTGCCAACTACTGAAAACAGCAGTCACACGCCATAAACTCTCTCAGGGTCATTAGCAGCCCACAGATCCCCGGTCACTCAGTGGAGAGGCCAGCGCCACAGTGGTTCCGACGCACTGGTGCCTTCCGTCCCCAGGACTGAGTGTCTCCCACGGTCACACCGAGTCTGCGCCGGTGATACAGTGTAGACAACGTGACCAGATAAAGACAAACAGCCCCAATAACAGGAAACATAAAGCCACATGATCCCTGAAAAAATAACTAAGTGAATCTTCCTATATTCCCTTAAAAAAAAGATTGACTCCAACATGAGAGGAGATATCTAATAAGATATAATGTTTATTACATATATATTTGCGGAAGAAAACATGAGCCTATAATTTTGAGCGTAACACTAAGTTATAGTTTTATTAACACTGTCTTAGTATTTGCACTCCCTGGAAACTGGTACAGATTAAACCAAATCATCTCAGTGAGCCCTTTGAACTGCATGCCTAGCATTATCTCATAGGTAAGTGCCCCGATATCAAAATATCAGAGCACGCGAACTCCGAACATCCATGCCAATCAACATCAGGACCATGTGCAGGGAATGTGGGAAAATAAAAAGCATATCGGAGGGCCGGGGTTCCACAGGGTCTCCACCCAGGCGCCGTGCTGCTCAGCTCCTGAGTGGGACTGCGGGCAGTCCCGGTGTCGGCGCTGCAGGCACAGAGGCCAGGCTCACTCATCAGAGGCGCCGGCCCCTTCCGTCTCCGCAAAGGCCGCCCAGCACCCGGGGAGCAGACGGGGAGCGAGAGTCAAGTTGCAGCCGTGAGGAAGGCGTTTCTCCTCACCTCGCCGGTGGGCTGGCCTTTGGGGAAAATGTCACAGTGCGCGTCCCGTGAATTTGAAGGTCAGTAAAAAACAAACGAGGCTCATCCCCCGCCAGGTCGCAGATCCTCCCGCGCCGGACGAATCTCAAGCGACTGAGACAATCAGAGTGCCACTCGGCTTATTTCTCCTGGAGAATTCTAGTTTGGGCGAAAATAGAAGTTAGGAAAAAAACAGGCTTCCACAGCGATGCGCCCCGGTGGCCTGAGGGAGGGGCGGTAAGGCCCTCCCCTAAGTGCTTAGTCTTCTACTACGAGAGGCTGACTAGAATAAAGTCCGCTGTGCTTAATTAAATCCTCCCATATTCCCTGACAAGCAAAATGTAACGATATGCATGGGAGAATTTAACTGGAAACACAGTGTAAGCGCCCGCGGCCCCCTGGGGCCCCCAATAGGCATTGAGTGTGGACTACAGTCAGCTGGCCAGTTCCCGGCTGCACCCCCTGCCTCAGCTCTGTCTGAGACCAAGGTCTGGCGCCACCCAGTGAGGCGCAGGACACACCTTTGCGTGAACACTGCAGCTTTGAGGTTTCACGTCCAACGGGAGTGGCCATGACGTTCAAAACTCGAGGTCCCAAGTAATAAGACTGGGGTTCTTGTCTGGACCATGCTGGTGCCGAATGGGTTTTAAAGGGGAACACGGTGTCAATGTGGTGGTCGTCATATCTGCACATTCAGCACACACGCAACGAGTCCCCGGTGTGGGCAGGCTCTCTGCCAGGTGTCGGGGCTGCACAGGTGAGCGGCGGCAGCCTGGGTCTCTCCACGGCCATGGGGTTTGTCTTTAGTGGGGACAGCAAGCGCGGGGAAGAGAAGCTGAGTTCATAGCGTGTCCACATGCGGTCGTTTGAGTCACCGCGAGAGCTCTGGGTTAGGTCCCAGCGTTGGCCGTTTTTTGAAAACAGACAGCTCAGTTGGAACTCCCTCGCCAGAGGCACGCGTCGGAGGCAGCAACTTCACACCCAAGTCCTCCTCCCTTCGAAGACCGAGGTGGTTCCCCACACAGGTGTCTTGTTGGGTGCGTACAACAGCAGAGCAGCTCCCCGGACGCCTCAATGAGTTTGACTCGGCGCACAGAACCCAGGGGCTGTAGCAGGAAGCCGGGGAGTCTGTTCGACTCTTCTCTGAACCGCACTCACGCGCAGACACCGCCTCGTCCCCCGCCCCGCCCCGCAGCAACCTCCCCAACCTCCTTTCTGGGCGCCCTCACCTGCACCACCTGAATCCCAGCCTGGTCCGCAGCCCCTCAGCTACAGCGGCCCCGCCCCCACTGCCCTCACCTGAGGTCCTTTCCTCCCCACCACACTGGGCACTACAGTCGGTCTTTGCAAATGCAAATCTACTCAGACCACACCTGCGTTTAAGCAGTTTTCCTTTGAAATGAAATCCAAATAGGTTTGCACAGTTTGTCCTGATGACATCGATTCTTTTCTTTTATAATCTTATTGTTGTTCAATTACAGTTGTCTGAATTCCCCCCGCCCCCCTGCCAAACCCACCTCCCTCCCTTGCTTCCCCCCTCCCCCTTGGTTTTGTCCATGTGTCTTTTGTAGTGGTTCCTAAAAACCCTTCCCCCCTTCCCCTCTGGCTATTGTTAGATTGTTCTTCATTTCAATGACTCTGGTTATACTTTGTTTGCTTTTTTCTTTTGCTGATTATGCTCCAGTTAAAGGTGAGATCCTATGGTATTTGTCCCTCACTGCCTGGCTTATTTCGCTTAGCATAATGCTCTCCAATTCCATCCACGCTGTCACAAAGGGTAGGAGCTCCTTTCTCTCTGCTGGGTAGTATTCCATTGTGTAAATGTACCACAGTTTTTTGATCCACTCATTTACTGATGGGCACTTAGGTTGCTTCCAGCACTTGGCTATTGTAAATAGCACGGCTATGAACATTGGGGTGCATAGGTTCTTTGGGATTAGTGTTTCAGGGTTGATCACATGGATTCTGCCTAATTCTGCACTGCTTTTCTCTCAAGTTCCCATCATGCACCCGCTCTGAACTGGAGCGATTCCGTTCTTTCAGTTCCTCAATGGTGTGTCTGTGCTTTCACCGCCTCCCGGACACGCGACTCCCTCTTCCCCTGCAGCCTGAGCCTGCTCTCCCCACTTCCGCCCACCCGCCCACCCAGATTCTAACAGGTTCTCTTGCTGCACCCCAGATGCCCGCTTTCCCA